GGCAGACGGCGGTTCGGAAATCCGTCGTCTGCTTTCGTGGTGGGTAACAGACGACCGGCCACGACTCCGATATAACTCCGATGTATGGATGGATGCATGCGTGCGACTTGACTCTTTAGATCGGGCGGCGGGTCGCTCCACCTGTTTCCCACAACGCTACAGGTGAGGACGGTGCCGATATCGTTGTTGTTTTTGTTTTTTCCGCAACGGCGGCTGAAGACGGACAGCCTTGAACTCGGTTGCCAGGCAACCGCAGGGCGCCGTCGCCACCACGCCGTCGCCTGGCAACCCCTTGGGACAACACGCGTCTCGCTTGTTCGTCCCGGTCGTTCGGACGATCGTTGGGTTCTGGCTGTGCGTGCCCCCGTTCATTGGCCCAGCTGGGGGTCACGTGGGGCCCCGGCGCATCCCTAGCAGACGGCAACAACAATAAGAGCACCCTTAATTTGGGGGGGGAAATAGTGCCTCTTCGATTTGCCTGTTGGAAGCGCTCCACTGGTAAGCCCCTGATTTCTCCCTACATTTTTTTTTTTTTTAATATGTCGCGTTTTTTCTTCGTGGCGATGGATTGTGTCTTATCGAGTATTTCCGTTAACTGCAAGGGTGTAGAGTGAAAAGACGTGGATATTGATATAGTCATGCGTTTAATCTACGCAATGATCTGCCGTCTCCATCGGACAGTGTAGCTTCGAGAGTCTTAGTAGAACAACGAAGGACATGCACTCAGTCAGTACACGTTTTAGGGACAAACATTCCGTTAGTAACCCAATCCTACTTCCTGCTGCGAAAAATATTACGGGGCAGAAGATTAAACAAAGAAAAATTTCGACTGACAATCTTAATGTCTGAGCTACGTCCTCAGCCGCCAATGAACACTCCTTATTTCGAATAATCATCGCCTCTCTCCACAACGTTCCCTAAAACCGCCAAAGAGTTAAACGTACAGTTACACATGCAGTCAAACTTACAATTCAGCGTACTGTTAAACATACAGGTAAATATGCCGTGAACTTTGTTTAGCCAGGATACAAGGTAGAGCCGGTGTCTCAGTAGTGATCTCAAGAAGGTATTACTATACTATGGTAACAAAGTTCAAATCAAGTCTAACAGATTAGCTATAACGTTCAATTGCAGTCTTTTGTTTTTACAGTTTGTGACTTCATTATTTGTGTTGGTTCATTTTACATTCTGGCTGAGAGTAAAAAATAAAAAAAACAACGGACGTTAATGTGTAAGCCCATCGCTTGCGCTGGCGTATTTGAGAACGACTGGCACGGAACCGCTAATTGTCTCGTTTTTCTTTGCTTGGCTGTTTTTAGTACTTGCTAATTACCACTATTTCTATGTTTAAAATTTATTTCTTCTTTTAACTTTTATTTGTAAGCTTTTAACACCGTTACTGTTTATTCATGAAGCACTTTACGTGGATGCATTAGGCTGCTAGTCATCTTTGAAAGGATTAATTCAGTTTTTATTTTAAGCTATTACATTAGTGTTTTTTTTTTTTAACTGGTCACTTTTTTCGTTTACCGAAACACACAGTCCCGTCCGTTTTACTTAACAACGCGTACCAATTTAATATTAATTTCTTCGTGTAAAAATACGTTAAATATTCGGAATATGTGTCAGAAAACCTTCAACGGCACTGGGCTTTCTAAACCAACCTAGAAAAAAAAAACTTGTCTATTGCAGATATATTATTTTAAACGGTGTCTATTTCTACAAAGAAAAAAATATTACACCAAATGTGTACATTTGAGTTACACTATATAGTCGAGAAAAAGTTAATACTCGAAGACAAATCGGGGTATTTTGTTTCTCGTTGATAGTACCAGTCCCATTTCTGAGACAGCAAGCAGGTCAAAAAGACTAAGTTTAGCAGACAGTGGTGCAGTTTTTATTATTTTGCAGGGCTTTTGTTTTTTTCCCTATCCTAGTTTTTTTATGGTAGGTGTCTGTTCGAATGACAGACATCGCAAAGTTTTCAGGACAAACTCTTACATCTTCATTGGGGTAATCATTTATTCTAGAGCTTTCGCATCCTGATCATGGTCACTAGCTTCATCTGTAGATAACGTTCCGCCAGTCTTTGGTGGCACGTCAAACAGATTATGTTGAAAATTACTCGAAACTATAGTAAAAGATGGGAAACTTAGTGAAAAAACAGACACATAAAATGGAACTTTTCAAACTCAACTTTTGCATTTATTTCTTGAAATCATTATATAGCCACAATCCTAACTTCGACCGCCGACGTCAACGCATCTTTCTTTGTTCTACGTTTCATCCAACCGCTGTTACACAGTTTGAATCACTCAAGGTCTTCACTTGAATCCTAAAACAGTGATCCCATTTCCAAACTCGAAACGAAAAACAGGGTACCTTTTTCTTGACCCCAATTACCCTCTCTGGCTTTCTCGAACGTCCCTGCGAGCGTACTCCATTGCGAAACACTCCCAGTGCCAATCATTAGTGCTCCTTTGATCAGTTCAACCAATCAGAAGAGCGATTGGTATCTTATCCCAATGGTCATGTGATACCGATGGCGATAAAGGTGGACGCCTTTATGCCACTCTAGAGTGGCTGAGTAAGATCAAGTAAGATACGCTTCATAAAAACGGATAGATGGATGGATGGGTGCTAATGACTGTACCTTTTATAACGGGCGGTAGCTTGCGCCACCTAGCTTAGAAATCAAAACCTTTGAATGTTTTTTTAATGATCACTAGGCAGCGTAGGATGTCGCCAGAATGACCTTTAGGGGTCTTGGTAAAATTAGCCCACCAGATAATTTTAAAACCTTTAGGAGATCGGGTAAAAAAAAACAAACTAATAACATCATCTTACGTTTTTTTCTCCTGACTAGAGCGACTAATTAAGCTACGCTTCAGAGCAGGGATGGGCAAAATACATGCAAATATGTATCGAAATACAAATACAAAATACTTCGTCAAAAATGTATTTAATTACAAATCTAATTACATTTCCAAAAAAAGCATTTAAATACAATATACATCTCCTCCAAATACTTTTCCAAATACATTCCTCAAAATTTGCGTCAGCGACTTCAGGGCGCCTGCAACGGGTTTCTGGGTATCTCATTTTAATTTTGCATCGCACACTCGGGAGTTAGTGCGCGAGGCTCTAGTAGTGCAATAGAAATATAATCACAAACAAATGTAATCAGCTTGGATGTGATAGCTGAAAAAAGTACAGAGCTTCAAGCAGCTTTTTTTGTCGATTACATTTTGATATAGACCAACAAAGAACCGAGATGACCACGACGCGTAGCACTAGCTAGAGAATTTTTTATTGTTGCAACTCGCACCAGTTACGAAAATCTGGATGACCCGCGCATTTAGAATGTTCCAGGGAAAAATAGGGAGGGAAATCAGGCTGGAAAGCATCACAAGTTGTCACAGGCACTTATTTAGCCAGTCTACCTGTGAACGTCGATTTCGTCACCATTCTTGCCCTGGACTAGCACCGCAATCACAAAGTCACTAAACGCTTGTGCTTGATTGAGAGCACTGCATTCGGTGCAGAACGTAGTTTTCTTCCTGCTCTGGACAGTGACAATAAATTTGAGGGATGTATTTTCGCCCACAAGATTGTATTTAATTACAATTGTATTTGAAATACCCACGTTTTAGTATTTAAATACACACGTCAAATACATTTCCCAATTTGTAATTAAATACAAATGCAAAATACACAAAGTATTTGATATACGTATTTCAAATACTTGTATTTGAAATAATGCCCATCCCTGGCTAGAAAGATATTTTGGGGCATCTAGCAAAAAAAATCTAAAAAGATCACCGGAGAGGGTGTCGTCAATTTTTCTCTGGTCAAACCTAGTCGGCGCGAGCCCAATGCCGGACCCACTGGGAAGCAGGGTTGAGACGCTATCAAAATCATCGTTGCTAGTTGTCCGAAGCTTCGTCCGAAATAATAGCGGGAAACTCTTATCCGTCCTCCAGAAATCTTAAAACACTCCGGGACAGAGCGAAACGATATGATGTGAGCTTGCTGTTTTGCGCCGCGCCTAACCTCGAGCTCAAAAGCCTAACTACCGCCAATAGCAGCCGCTCTGCACTGGACAACAAAACGGGGACGCCCAGCAGCTAGTCGGGAACACAAAGTGTCCGTACCTCCAGCTTATAGCTATATTCAGCGACCCCAAGCACGACCGCTGGGGCACCATCCCGCTCGCCCCTCTCGTATATGGCAGACTGATTAAAAGCATATGCGTTGCGCAAGTTCGTCTGCTTCTTGCACATGGATTGCGGTGATCTCAGAACGCCAAACTCTTATTGGCTGATCGAAAAAGAAAAAAAAAAAAAAGAAAAAATAGCGGGCAGACCTCGAGGCACTTTGCATCGAGGTCTACCCACTATTCTTTCAATCAAAGCCAATCACAGAGCTCAGCGTCCTTCTGATGTCATCGCAACTCCTGTGAAAGGAGCAGACGACTTGCTGTCCGCATAGGTCCACGACCGGTGCGCCGTGTGCTTTGCGGAACAGCGCACGTCCGTGAGCCGTTGTGACCGTGTTACGCGTTACTCGTGCAAATAGTTCGGTCACTGGGAGCTTAAGAAACGTGTGGTGCTGTTTCTTATGTTGGACTTTGTTCTTATGCTCGACCTGACGATATATCGCGCGAGGGACAGTGCGCAGACACAGTCTGAGGCCTCCCTCGTATAACGGTCCTCTCACATCGGTCATACAAAAACTGTCCGCAGACCTGTACGAAGTATGCATACGCATAAAGCAAACATGCTTGGAACATACTGACCGGGACCGAGTGCGTCTTAATGCAGCAATTTAATCGGCTAGCAGAGCACCAACGAAATATCCTGGACCCACCACCGTTTCTTAAGCCTTCCATGGCCGTAGTATAGCAGAACGCGGAGGATACTACCATGTACACCTGACTGAGTGCGTGTCCAATGGCACGGGCCCCCGCGCAGCGTTGGAGCCTGCTGGGAGGAGTCGCCATGATTGCCATGACAATGGACACGCTGGCCATCTGGTCGTCGCGCAAGAAGAAAGAAAACCAGGGTAAGGACGCAGGTCAGTGTCCTCAGCGTGGGAGCGCGCATCGACGGCCGCTCCTCTGGTCACCGAGGGGCACTCGTCCGCCACATTTAGCCACATCTGGTCGGCACCTGCTAGATAGACAGAGCTGCAGCCTCGAACGCATTCGAACGCTTAATTAACGCCAGCGTCCGGCGTTTGCGTTCGAACAGCGAGTAGAAACAAAAGGCAGCTAGCTTGGTGTCCCGTTTAAATGAACCTTTAGCAAACCGTTGAACTGCTTCGCATACCGCACAAAGGCTCCGGTAGTGCGGTACGCGGAGCACGGCAACGGTTTGCTAAAGATCCCTATTATTTGTACGACCAACGTGACACGAGGAATACTTTAGACATTGTCTGCAAACAGTCTTTTGTACGGATGTATCAGCGGTGTGAACATGGCTTAATGCATCGTACAAAAGGACAGCATGCACACATGTCCTTAGGCCTGTTTCAATGACGGTCCAGCCAGATTGGTCATACTACAACTTTTTTTGGACACGCTGGATCGTACGCGTGTATGAAGCGAAGACGCTCGAAGGCGCGTCCTCGAATAATACTGACATCGCATCGGCAGAGAAAACCTTGTGTACGGTCATAGCCATCTCTATACTGGCAAAGCCTGGCAGTTCGACCACGGAGCTATAGAGTGGCCGGTCGCAGATTCGAAGCACGAGGATCTGGTAGCACAGAGCATTTCTCTAGGAGTCTGGTATTCAGCGCACAATTTTCGCAGCGGCGAAGACCCGAAACATGGTTTTCAAATTCGACAAGAAAAGAAGCGGCAGCCCGAAGAACGCGAGAAGCCCGAGCGGACATTCTATCGCTCGGGACAAGTGTGTTTCAGCGTCTCGCCGCAGCGGGGCGCCCGTTACATGCCTCTTGTCTGCCGCTCTACCTTTTCACTTACCTTTCGGCGGCCGCGTCTCATGACGATCTGCCAGGCTTTGTCAGTATAGAGGAGGCTATGGCTTCGGGTAGTTGCCGATATCAGTAACTCTGCAGGCCGCGGTTCAAATTCACGATCGCGAGCCCCTGTTCAGCGCGAAGCGCGGCAAACGGCAAACCATGGTCGCGAATACCGACTGGCCCTACTACGAAACGTCGCTACGCTTGGACTTCCGCGTTCTAGTAATTGCAGCGGGTGTACGTGAATGATGCCTCCGATGTCGCCCCGTTCGTCGGGGCGTCCGCTTGGCCCGCGGTTCCACCCGAGGGACCCCCGGCTATCGTGCCCGGTCCGGCCGTATATTCCTGTCACAGTCGCGAACGTTCCGTGCCAGGGTTTCTCGAGCGGTGCGCCGTAATCGGGTCGCTTTTTCAGCGGGCAGTGGTCTCGCCGGGACAATCGCCGAGACACTTCAACGCTTTCCGTTTAACCCCCGTTCCTCTGTTTCACATTTGGCTTTCGGCAACCAGGTTGCGCCAGCTTGCGCAGCACGCTTGTATAGGAAGTATTCACTGGCGGCCATAGCTGTGTGCACGACTGCTGAGCGCGTGCTGATGGCGAGCTTCCGCGGTTCTTTTGTAACGTGCATTCCGCACCCTCAAGATTGCCGGTCTTAGCAGCCTATTAATGTGGGCGCGTTCAGAGCATGTGCTCTAGACATCACCCACAAATATGGCGCCCAGTGAATACTCCTTATAAGCTGTAGCTCCCCTCTTCTCCTTCGCGCCTTTCCGCTAGGTGGCGTCGCCTATATTGATATTGAGAACGAATAAGAAAATCGTTCTCTCATTTCTTGCTCACGTTCGGTCTGCTTTCCTCTGAGACAAGTCAAGAAAATTTAAAGGAAAGCTGAAGAAGTTTTTGAAATCGAAAAACAACTGCGAAATTCTTGAAGGTAGGCACCTTAAAAATTATGTATAAAGTTTTATTTCAATCCTAGTAGAAGAGCTACGTAATCGCCAATTACAAATTGACAGTGATCTGGCCGCCGCTGCACGCGGGGGGGGGGGGGGGGGGGGGGGGGAGAGAGGGGGGAGGGGGGGGAGGGGGGGGGGGCGTTATTGGCGGGTCCTTTGCTGCTCTCTAAGCAGACTCGGAGATGCAGACGATGGACGTCAAAACGCCATTGACAGATATCAGGCCACAGATAGGCTCATCACATGGCCTGCCCAATTTCGGTGCAATACTTGAATTCAAGGTCCAGAAAACCACGGAAGTATGATCCAAACTCAGTTTTTGTTGAATAGTGCTTCAACTTCCTATTATCAAACTTCGCTCGCAGGCGACTATCGAAAACGCCTTGCTCACAACCGTTAAACAGGCATCCAGTTAGTGCGCAGGTGAGCTGATGGACCATAATGTCAAGCCCCTGTCTCGCTATAATATTATTATTGTCGTGAACGAACATTTGAGCGGAAGATGATGTATGATCATCCGCAGAAAGGACGATAACCTTCCGATTCTTTACATTTCTCTTCAGCGGTAGCAATACGAGGGTAAATAGATACCTTTAAGGTAAGACAGCGTCCATGAGCATTTCGTGGACGTGGGTGCGTATCGAGTGTGACAGTGTACTTTAGTTTACTTTAGCGATAACTTCCCCATATATGTCCAATGGTCATCGGGTAACCAAGGCCAAAATCACAATTTATTTGTTTATATATTGAAGGGAATGAAAAGGTTGGTGGCGGCACGAAACCGAATGACGTCAGTACAAGTGCGAAATGACGAGAATTCGATAGTGATAGCTCTATTGCGTATATTATTACTATGTTCTTTTTTTCCTTCGTCATCCGTTCTTCCGTGCTGTCGTCACTTAGGCTGTGTCCCAAATCTTACTAAAATGGATCCGAGTTACTCCGGCAGATCGTATCACGTGACAGCACAGATTGAAAAACCTGAAAAACGCTGGACGCGGGTAGGTTTTAGAACGCCAAGGGTAGAAAACCCTTACCCTGGAGTAAGATCGAGTAAATTTTGGAACACGGCCTTAATGTCGCAATCCTATTGGTGAAAATAAGATGGACTTGCCAGGCCCCACATTTTTTTTTTTTACGATGCCGGTGTTTTCATTTTCATCGATGTGGACCATTGGAACTTATTAGGTTGGTTTACTCGCTACCCCAAAATGTATATAAATTTTTATGTTCTTTAGACACTTTTTTAGGTTCTTTGTACATAAAACTGGTACGGTGCACTTTGAAGAAATTTTAATAGGTAGTATTCAAATAAAAGAACGCAGCAAACCTGGACGTGAGAGTAAAACTGAACGAACCTTCTAGTAAATAGCGCATAGAGTAGAGCCAGAAAATATTCCCGTCGCGTTCCTGCGACCCTCCCCTGCCGATCACCGCCGCCGAGTAATAGGCGATGCGTCGCGTGCTTCCTCTACCCAACCCCGTCAAACCCCCGAAGCTGAAAGTACGCTGGAAGCTACGAGGTCGTCGGACCAATCACACGTCGACCTTTCGTCACGTGATCACACTCGCGTCCGTACCCGCACAGAAATGTCGTATACGGGTATATCGAGAATCGGGCGAAAAAGGCCATATATGGCCATTTATGTAATATGAATAGAGTGACGTCTCGCTAATATAGAGACATCCCTTTCCCCCCAAGATTGTTCATAATATCAGTTGTTGAAAATAGAATATAATAATAAATATAATAATAATAGCTTTATTTACCATGTATGTATGGCGAGAGCCGAGCAAAAAAAAACAGCTGACCAAGTCTCCGCTCAGCCCCTCTCAAGTGCAAAGCAATGGCAAGAAAAAGATTAAAAAAGAGAACACAAGAAAACGTATCATAATACGAGCTGCTTCCATTATAAGCACAATAAAACCACCAACCAAGCAATAGACACCAGTGACATTTGTCTACATCACTTGCCTCATACCTTACTACAACACGCACGCATTAAGTCTTACTCGCCCAATTTGTTATATGTCCACGCATATATGGCATTTCTGTATGGGTAACACGCGCGGAGAGCGAGGTCACGTGATCAGAGAAAAGCACTTGATTGGCCCGGCACACGCGTAGCTCCCACCACACTGTCAGCTTAGGGGTTAACGGAGCATACCGTTGTCCCGTGACCCATTGAGGGCGGCAGTATATAAGGTAGCTGAAGCGAGTCGATAATTGGGCGGACGTTGAGGAGGCATCGGGGGGAGGGGAGGGGGGGCGCAGAGCCATTATTATAGCCCCATGTACCGCTGCACCGGGGCATGAACGGCAGCCGTGCGGGCAGCAGCGGCCCTGTAAAGCGGTCCTTTTGCCATTAGCGCTCGTGAGATCCTCGGTCCGACGAAGCAGGCCGGTCGAAGTGTGTATCGGCGCCATACCTGAGCAGGGACAGCCATGCACTACGCCGCGGCCGGGAAGGACGCCCAGGCGTCGCCCTGCAAGAAACTCGACGCCCAACAGGGTGAGCTCGCTTCAAGTGCGGTCACCGGCATGTCGATCAGAATAGACCGATCTCACTAAGCGTTGGGCGCATGCGTAAAGCCGCCATAACTTTAGTTCACAGGAGGCAGACGGCGGTGCACGCGAGGGCTCGTGCCTTCTCGTGCTGTACACGCGAAGAGCTCTAGCGAGGTTGTCGCACGTGCAAAAAGACTAAAGTCCCCTAGATGCATTGCGGCAGCGGTGGCGTAGTCAAACTGGCTGGTGAGATCGGTCTGTTGCGAAGCGTGGCGATCAGAACGCAGAACAATTCAAAAAGCGTGAGCATAATTCGCCTTCCGTTTTCTGAGTGGTCAACGAGTACAGTCAGTGAGTTTTCTGAGAGGTCAATGAGTCACTGAGAACTTAAGAAAAACAGGAGGCGGCTTATTGTGTTTACGCTTCTGGCTTCGTGACTGGTTCATCAGAGTTCTTGTGGGATAATGCAGCATTCTGATTGGTTACGGAGCAAAAAAAAAAAAAAGATGCTTGGGACAAACAACGCCTTGCGCTTGTTACGCAGTTAGCGGGCGCGGATACGTGGATGCGACCGTAGCATATCGAATCGAGACACGACGTCTTTGATTTTGTAGAAAAGGAA